TGGGGATGTATGGATATTGAGAGAAACGGCTGAGGTGACCCAAAGCATGGCAGCCAAGGGGGCTAGAAATGACTAGGGGAGAGGAAGAGTAATGGTGTAGAATGGTGATTTTCATATTTGCTGTCTTTTTAGCAATATCCCTCCTCGCCCTTTTGCTTTTAAAAGTGTATGGATTAAATTACATTAAAAAGTTTCTGGAAGTAAAGTATGTTATGAAGTGGAAACAATACAGTGCAATGTGAGTGAAAACTGTCTTCCACACTGGACCCCTTTCCCTTACTACTCAGCAATACCATTATCATTTTTTTGTGTGTGTGCTCAATATTTTAAAATCTTATTTTTTGTTACTTATTTGCCTATATAAGCATATGTGCCTGTCTTATCTTGTCAATGGCAACATACATTATTCATCTGATTTTGTACTTTTTAAAATTACTGTAACTTTAGAAATCCTTTCTCATCACTACATTCACTTTAACTGCTGCATAAGAGTCCATGGTATGGATGTACATTACAGATGATAGAAATATATTTAGTTTTTATAAATAAAGTTTCAATTAAGATCATTGTACACATGTTCTTGTGCATACATGCAAGTCTTTCAGTGGGAAAATTCTTATTAGAATTGCTTAGACAAGGTATAAGCATTTACAATTTTTGATAGGACTTGCAAAATTTCCCTTCAAATAAGCTGTGCCAATCTACATGGTCACAAAAAAAAAGTTTCAAAGTGCCTAGTTCCCTACATTCTTGCCAAGTGTGTTAACATAATTCTTGAACTTCGAGAATCAGGTGGAAAATGATATCTCACTGATGTTTGATGTCCATATGGAAGGGCTTTTAAATTTCTGTTCAGCCAAATACTGTCTACACAGGTTTTATCTTTAGCTCGTGTTAATGAAGCCTTCTAATCTCTTTTACTCTGTTTGCTATTAGTTTGGATCAAAGTGCAATTTAAGTGTGCTGATGTGAGATAACAGCCAGAGGGGAATTATTTGACCCAGTGAGCAGTATGAAACACAGAAACTGATTCATAGTGCTTTTTAATGGTTGAATTTTTAAAAATCTATGTGAGAACATGGTATAGTACTTATAGTACATATACATATAGTATATGTAACTAAATTTCGCAGGCATGCATTATTTTTCTCCTGGTTAGGATGCCTCAGAACCTGTGGGAAGCAAGCCGCTTCAACCCGAGCGTGTGGGGCCACGCAACAAGCCTTAATGCAGATCAGAAAAGTTGAGTCATTGTTTGGCAGGGCATTCATCCTCTCTGCACCTCATCTGTAAATTGAGGGTTTCCATTAAAGACCGTTGCTATGGTCCCTTGCTGTTCTTAATTCTATACTGCTACACCGTTATTTAATTGACGGGCTGGAGAAGAAGCTACCAGTGCTAACAATGCTGCGGGAAGACAGGACTTTGCACAACTAGAGACTCCTCCCAAATGCATACAAGTGATCAGCCTTCCAAAACCTAAAGGCGATGCCGCGCTCCAGTTCTGTGGCCCTTTCACCTAGCTGTTTAGAGCGCCTGTTTTCTCAGTCTATATGTAAACATGCTCTAATAATACGGCTCCCCACAGTCCCAAGTTAATTTTTTCCCACCTGCCTTTAAAACAAGGAAGAAGAAACGCGCTAAAGCTGTGGCAGGTGCATTTTACAATCCTACTCCCGGGTGTGTCGGAGACGCACCTTAACAGCCTCGGCCGGCGATCACCACGTGGGTACCTGGGTGCCGGAGCGGCTCCAGTCCAGCTGACCCGATTTCCCCGCGCCTTCTGACCGGGATGGGGAAAACCAAAGAGCAGCTGCCGGGGCGAAGGCAGGGCGCTGACCCCAGGCGGGGCGGGCCCTCCCTTGGTGCCATCTCTTGCATTGAATTACTGTTCAGAGCCAGGAAAAGGGACCCCTGCTATGTGGTCTGCCTTCGTACCACTTGGCGAGACGTACAACACGTGCGTGTGGAAAAGTAGAAGCAAAAAAAGCAGAATATGAATAGTTGTTGACCAGTCAGGGAATGTTAAGTTCACCCGGTGAATCGGGCCGGAAGAGAAGGAAGAGAGCGGGGCAGAGACAGGGACTCACTAGGGTAGCCCCGGCCCGGGCAGGGGTGGGGTGCGTGGGGTGGGTGGGGTGGTTGGGCTCCTGCCCTCGTCGCCTCCGCAGCACGGGGTTCTGCGGTATTCAGTGCGACGGCACAGGCCCGCCCATGCCTTGGCGACCCGTCTAGAGTCAGGAAATGTGACTTGTCTGTGATGATTGGTACTGCGCTTTACCAAAGGCCAGGGAAAGCAAAATGAAGCAAAGGAGGCTGCCGGGGCCGGAGGCCCGATCTGCAGACTGCCGCACCGCCGAAAGCCGACCCCGTACCGGCCTGGCCAGCCCCACCCCGAGGCTGCCCTCAGCCTCCGCCGCGCCCTCATCTTCTCCCCTCCTGGGCTTCCGAACCCCGCAAGGGGCGAAGGCAGAGGCCAGGGTAGGGGTGAGGGCGTAGGGGCGGGACCCCAGAGCGCACCACACCCCTGCCCTGATGCCTGGGGGTAGTCCCCCAAAACACCGTCCGTTGCCCCTCCCTCTTTGTGCGGAGGGCGCTGTTGCCCTGGTGACGGCCCCGCCCCACCCGGGCCCCGCCCCCCGCGACGCCCGCGCCCGGGTCTCCGTTCTGCCGCCTGCCCAGCCGCAGTCCGCAGTAGCCGCCGCCGCAGCCGGCCGCGGGCTGAGTTTCCGGGGCCGTCGCAGGGAGCGAAGTTTCTCTCTGCGCCCGTGCTGTCATTCGCCCTGGCCTCTCGCCGCGTCGGTCCGCTGGACGGGTCCGGCTGACCAGCTCGCCTTCCAGCTCCCAGCCGAGGCTCCGCGGCAGCCGCTGGGACGCGCCCACCAGAGCCTGCCCGGCTCTCGGCTGCCCGTTTGGACCCTGCCGTTGATGACACCTGCAAAAAGGCTTCATGGAGGGGGATGGTTCAGACTCGCTGGTGAGCGGGGCAGAGAAGTGGTCCACTCTTGGATGGCGGCGCGCCGGGGCCCCTGGGTCTCTCTTCCCTTACAGCTCAGCTGGGAGGGAGCCACTCCTCCCGAGGAGCGTAGGCTGCCCTGTGGTTGCATCGCTTCCTCTTCGTCTTCCCCGTTCATGGCCGGGTTCCGCAACCCGGTGCGCCCCCTTTCTACCCCTCGGTGCGCCCCTTTCTAACCCTCGGAGGTTTGGACTCCAGGTCCTCTGGGTCCGGAAGAGAGCACTGCTCGGGTGCGGTTATCGCCCATCTAAGCCCCTGGGGCAGTCTGGGCGGGGCTCTTTAATGGGGTTTAAGTTGTAGAATTAATTCGCTTTAGGGAGTCTTGTGCCCTTCGCTGCGCGGCGCGTGTCCCGCTGCCCTTTGTCTGGAAGTGCGGTGGCGTCGGCGCTCGAGTTCCGTTCGGACCCCTGCGGGCTGGCTCTGGCAGCTGTTGCGGTTGGAGTGGTTTTGCTTGAAACGGGATAGTCAGTTCCTAAGAACTTAAGTTTTCTGTTGAACCTTATTTAGTTTGAAACAGCTTAATTGTGGAGCCACCACATCACATTTCTCTTAATCATTATTGTTTTCCCTCAATGAATGTAAAATGAACACTAATTTACCTTTTGGGTAAAAATTACTTTATATCCATCGTGCTTAAAAAACTTACGTACTGCTTTATGTACAAGAAAAATGGAAATGAATTTAGATCTTCCAGTGGGGAGTAAACTTCCCATAAAATGGGGTGTGAGAACCTATTTTAAACATTCAGGACAATATTTTTCTTTGAATCAAGTATCAGTTTTCTTGTAAAATGAGATAGGATGAAAATGGTCTGTATTCCTTGATGTAAACTGTGAGGTGTGGCTGTCTTCCAAATTTACTAAAATTGTGATGTGTTGTGGGCTTTTATTAAATATTTATTGAGTGATGCAGCAGGAAACACTGCAAAGACTCATTTAGCCAGTTGGCTGTAGTGCTGTTGTCAGGAATTATTAAAGAACTTTGTGTCACTTTAGGGGGAATAGAATAGCATACAGTTTTATTTAATTAAAATAAGTGGCTTAATTCAATTGTAATGTTCTTTGTATTTCTGGTAGTAGAAATAAATGCACAAGATTATGAGTACTTTAAAGTTGGACTATCACTAAAATTTCAGGGATTCATAACGCTTGAAAGTTTGATACACAATGGGAAAGTTTGAACCCTTGAAGTTTGGTGCACAATGGGAAAAAACCACGTGGGGAAACTGGTATGAGGTTATCAAACCTTTTTAGTTGTGATAAGAGTCTTTAAGTGTTTCTCATTGAAAATAATGCAAGCTTGTAGTATCACAAGCTCTTATAATGGTATCTTCTAATCCTCTACACTCTTTCAATATTTATAAAGTGCTTTTAAGATAACTGCTTTGATATTGCAGCATGGGATCCTCAAGCATTTTACCTGCATTACAGTTGTAGCATATGAAAAATGGTCACATTTAATGTAGGAAATTGCTAGTAGTTCAGCTTGTCAATACATTTCAAGTAGGGTTCCATGAATATACTGGCTAACCTAGTATGACCAACTCTTGTAATTTGCTACTCACAGAATTAATGCCCTAAATAGAAAAACAGTCTCATTCTTAGTGCTATATTCTTAATTTTTATTGAAGTAATTTGCTTTAAGGATTTCCCTGAAGTCCTAAATCAGTAAATTAGTCATGGCTTGAATAACTTCATAATTGATGAAATATTATGGTCCCCTAATATTTTCTGCTAATTTTTCTCATACTTCAATTTTTACCATCTCATGACACTTCAGATCTAAGCTATTAGGTACTGAGAGGGGGGTTGATGGTATAGTATTTCATAGCCAAAAAGGAACTTCATATTTAAAAAAAAAGTGTTTCTTAAATCTTTTGGAAAGGTAAACACATGTATTTTTACAAGATGTATAAGCATGTTAATATATTTACCTACTAAGAGCCTTTGATTTTGATTTCTCTTTTTTTTTTTTTCAATTTAAGGTTACCATTAAGAATATCGAAAGAGAGCTCATTTGCCCAGCATGCAAGGAGCTGTTTACCCACCCGTTGATCCTCCCTTGTCAACATAGTATTTGTCATAAGTGTGTGAAAGAACTCTTACTGACACTTGATGACTCATTCAATGACGTGGGATCAGACAACTCCAATCAGAGCAGTCCTCGACTTTGGCTGCATTCCCCTAGCTTGGATAAAGTTGACAGGATTAACCGACCAGGTATGTGGTAGAATATTGGGGTCAGGGAGTTTCATTGATAACTGTGGAAAGGAAATGATTTTTGTCATTTTCAGGGTTAATCTTTCCAGATGAATGAAATAAAACTGTAGTTATACAGGGACCCTTCCCTGCTTTAAAATGTCAAAACAAACTCTTGCTGACTTTTGGTACGCACTTAACGTTTGTGTTAAACCCCATACAAAGTTTGGTATTCACTTAAACTTTGTGTTAAATCCCTTATTAACTGTCTATTTTAGGAAGGTGTTCTGCTCTATGACATCCTTTACATGAGGGATGAGTGATGGATTACTGGAGTACTTACTAGGGAAACATCTATATATGGTAATATGTAAATAAATATGAAGAATTAAGGGAAGAGACTACATAGTGAATAGTCCCAAAGGCTTTTTTTAGAGGAATTATTTGGTATCATTTTATTCTACCTGAGAATTTTTTCTTCTTCAGCCATTTTTAATCCATTTTTTAAAAATAAGGACTTTGAACATCAATTAAATAGTAGTGGAATTCTGTGGTAGTGATAGAAGTAGATCTCGTGAGTTGTATAGCACACATACTTTACCTTTATTATATAGCCAATGTTTGAATAGTTTCCTGTTGGGGTAGTGTTACTTTTTTCTGGACATCCATAGTAGGATTAATATAGGTCTAAATTAGTTTGAAATCACTGGGAATAGGGCCACTAAAAAATTAAGGGTCAGTATCAGCAGTGAGGACCAAGGGGAAGTCTAGGTTGGGTAGAAATACCACAGTGTCATGTTAGGCAGGTCTTTGTATGGACAGTGCTTCAGTGGCTGTAATAAGCATCAGGCTTCAGGGCTTCAGCTCTGCCCAATTTGGGCTTATAGGTTTATAGTTTACTCTTTTCCGCCACTCTATTTTTTCCTCCTACAGTATAGGAGTAACTTTAAATCTTGTTAACAAAACACTTAGCAGAAAAGCATCTCTCCTAATTTACATTTTAGAGAATGTCACCTGTTTTGATCCATGCTGTGATACGGAATCTCCTTGGATGATGTTTGTCTTTGAGCTCCATCAGAGAGTGGATAAGAGTAGATTTGCTCTAAGACTAATATTATGCTATTTTAAAAACATGTATTTTTCTTTAAATGGTAACAACTAATTACTTGGAAGATCCTCTGCCGATAAAAAATTACACGTATATAGTCATGTGCCACCTGATGACGGGGCTGTATTCTGACACCCCTCATGTAGTGGTTGTGTGAACAGCATAAGAGTGCACATATGCAAGCCTATTACACACCTGGGCTGTGTGGTAGAGCTTATTACTCCTAGGCTACAGGCCTGTACAACATGTCGCTGTACAAAACAACACGATTAAATCAAGTGCAAGAGATGATGTTACAATCAAGAGACATGGGAAACATGAGATGTGTGCGGCTGCTGCTAGTAAAACATGGCATACTGTTTTACCGGAAACTTTATAAGCAGAAAGACTACACCGTCTAAAATGACGGTAAAAAGTATAGTACAATAAGTACATAAATGAGTAACATAGTCATTTATATTATTATCAAGTATTATGTCCTGTACATAATTATGAGTAGCATAGTCATTTATATTATTATCAAGTATTATGTCCTGTACATAATTGTAGGTGCTGTACTTTTACATGACTGGCAGTGCAATAGGTTTGGTTGTACCAGCATCACCACAAATACGTAATGCATTGTGCTACAACGTTCGGGTGGCTATGATGTCATTAGGCAATAGAGATTCATAATCTCATGGGACCACTGTTGTATAAGGGGTCTGTCCTTGACCATAATGTCATTATGCAGTGCGCGACTGTATACAAAAAAAGGAGCATTAGGTAACTGGGAGTGTAGAGAGTATGAGGTTGGAGAGGGTTATGCTCATATTGAAGTCATTACTCTTAACTTTCCCTCCCTGCCCACAAACTGGCAAATAGAAACACAGTAACAGCCTGAAATCATCCTACCAGATAAAACTTGACATTGTAGATCCTCATTGGCTAATTAGGGACCCTTGCTTGCTTGACCAAGGAAAATTCACTTTTTATTTATATATTAATGTTTAGCACAGACCATTGAAAGAAATTTTAGTTGTGTACTAGTATTTCTAATTAGATTGAGCTCACAGATGTATTTTATGAAATCCTGTATTTTAGGTAGGCTTCTGGCCTTAAGATTTGTTTAGTTTTACATGTGATTAATATCAAGTAGGAAAGAAATGCAGATGAAATATAGTTAACTGTTTCTGTTTTCAGGAACTTACCTGGCACAGTACTCAGTAGATGTTTAATAAATATGTGTTGAGCAGGTGTTAAATGGCAAACCTCTGCTGCAAGATTTGTTCAAAGCTTGCTGTAACGGCTTATATTCAGTAATTTCCAGAACAGGAGACCTAGTCCAGCACACTTTATTCTGTCTAGATCAAAAATAAAATTACGGAGATGTTCCTCCCTCTTCTTTGAAAGAACTTTATTGCTTGGGTTATGGCCTGAGGGAGGAAGTTAGAAAACTTTACTGTGAACAACAGTTGCAGGAAATAAGAATATTTAACTTGCAGGAGGGATGAGTGCAGAATATGATGACTGTTTTGTGGAAGACAATAGTACATTGGGTATCTTTGTGGCAAAGGTTCCAGATCACTGGATAGATGAAATAGAAAGGCAGATTACAATTTAACATGAGAGAAAGCAAACACTTAAGGCTGTCCAAAAATGAAATGGGCTGCCTAATTTTGTCAGGTCACTATCGCTAGAAGCGTTTAGAGGTCAAATTTAGATGCCTCCGGGGCAAAATAAGTATATTAATGAAACAGGCCCCAGAAAAATAAATACAGGACCCTCTATCATTTTGCTTCTTTGATCTCAGCGTAGGACAACAGTAAATATTTCTTTTTCTCATTAACTCAACTACTGTAAGAAAACCAGCAGCCCCCATGTCAGCAGCCAGCTGACTCCAGGCTGACCCTGTTGGAGACAGTAGGCGTAGTTTGGATTGTGGAGACTAGAGTGGATGCCTTCTCTATGGGGACCGTAGCCCCTTGGCACTAGTGAATTATCATATGGGTTTGGGGGCCCCAGATTATCAGATTTAATGTTTCCCCCCCCAACAAAAGCCTGAGAGTGGTTTTGATACAAAATCTGTTTTTTAAATATGGGTAGTCAATTCAAATTATTTAAAAACAGCACACCAACTCAGTATAGGGTCAGGGCAACCAAAACACATCTCTGACTCTGACCCATCCAGCCTTGGGGCCATCGATGTTTGGAGTCTTTGTTTTATACAATGGATGAGTGACCATCTTTTGCAGATATCATGGAGGTCATTTCTGCCTTGGGTAGTGGGTCAAACCAGTTGTTATGTCATCTTCTATGTATTCTCCATCCCTGAAGTACTGTGACTTTTTGAGTACCAGTTGCATTCATTCATTTGCCAATTATTTGTTACCTGCTAGTTACGAGACGTGGCTAAATGTTGAAGAGTAATGAAAAAGATAGATCCCATCCCTCTTTTTTTTTTAAAGAAGCACATAGCCTAATATTGTACATAGAGCTTCATAAGAGATGTAACAATTAAGAACACTGCGCTTCATCAAAAGCATATAAAGTAAGTTAACAGATACAGATAGAGTATTCAGAGGGTGAGGAGACTCCAAGTATAGTAGTAAATCCTGGAGGTTTTTAGCAAATGAATGCAAATTTTAGCATTTCCTATCCCACGATCACCAGTTTTAAAATAGTAGAAGTCAGTTTCTTTGGATAGTTCAAACATAAGTTCATGGGTAATTTTCCCTTTTTGTCTCGCAGGTTTTTTTTTTTTTTTAAGTTTAGTATTTCAGCATTTTGACATGCTTGAGAAGGAAATCAGAGTCCCTGTTCTGAGTACTTGGTGTGGGAGTAATAGAATTCTAAAAATTAGTTTTGCCAGTGGTAATTAAGGGGTGAATTATATCTGGACTGTCCAGTACAGTAGCTACTAGACACATGTGGCTGGCTGATTAGCACTGAAATATGCTAGTGTGAATTGAGATGTGCTGTAAGTGTAAACACACACTGGATTTTGAACACCTAGAAATAAAAGAGGAATATAAAATATCTCTTAAAAATTTTTTAAAAATTTTATTTGTTTTTAGAGAGAGGGGAAGGGAGGGAGAAAGAGAGGGAGAGATACATACAGCACTGTGTGGTTGCCTCTCATGCATCCACTACCTGGGACCTGGCCTGCGACCCAGGCATGTGCCCCGACTGGGAATCGAACTGGCGACCCTTTGGTTCACAGACTGGCTATTAGTCAACTAAGCCACACCAGCCAAGGCTCTCTTCATAATTTTTATATTGATTACATTTTGAAATGATAGTATTTTGGATATATTGGGTTAAATAACACATGTTATTAAAATGAATATCACCTGTTTTTTGAAATTTGGCTATTCTGAAATTTAAAATGACATATGTGGCTTACACTTTTGGCTCACATATTCCTTTGTATAATATTGCATTGGACATTTGACAGAATTTTAAAAAAAGGTGCTTTGAAAGGAATTATGGTGTGTATAAAAATAGCATATTAAATTATGTAAAAATAAAAGATTTATATTCCTGAACATGTTTGGTCATATATATGCAAGTTTTTCACCTATTTTATATTTCCTTTTGTCACAAAGGTATAGTTTTAGTAATATTTATTTACATCAGTAAAAAAATAAGATATGCTTGATTTTACTTTGTATTTGCAATGGTTACTAGAAATCATTGTTTAAAGATACAAATCTATAAGATAAAGTGTAGATCTTTTAAAAGCTGCATCAATAATGATTAATTCTGAGTTCTAAGATAGGTTTGATGGCTTCATAAATACCATGTGTACCAGGAAGAACATGTTTTTTTCCTGTTAATTCAATAATTGTGTTACGTGCAGGACACAGTTACTGCTTTATCTTTTGTTAACAATTTGTGAATCTTCTCTTTGAAATTAAATTCTAAATCCAGCTTTCTGTTCATTGTTCACAGCATCGCAGCGGAGATCTTTGGGGTGGAGAGGTAGAATGCTTTATTGCTTGTGTGGCCGCAGGCAGTATAGTGTTAGATTTAAATTAAATAACCTTGTATAAATAAGGTTTTAAACATCAGTGGTCAAGTCTTCAAAATTTTGTAGGAAGTGAGCAAATTGGGCTGAAATGACTTAAAGGTCAACAGGACTAAATTTCCAAACAAGTTCTGATGTTTTTAAAGGAGAGCACTGATTATTAGTGCATGCAATTTTGTCAATATACATGACAAGATATTTTTAAAGAAAATGACATACCTCTGTTATCTTTTAAAATAATGTTAATTTAAAAATCCTTTACATTTACTTACTGGAACAATATTTATGTTAACTGTCATATTGCTACCTTGGTGAGGTTAAATAAGCCAGTACTTTCTTCTGTACTTAAAAATTTGCTTAAAGATGTTTCAAATTTTTGTAGTTAAAAACAATCTTTGCTTGTTTTATGCATATGGTGTCTTTATTAATGTTTTAAAATATTTGAGTTGTAACATTGAGGTCCTACCCATTTGCGGGTAAATAATGTATACTGCTTTTTAAGGCTTTGTGAAGTATTATTTGTTTCTATATAAAAGATGAGCTAACCTATCTTATTTAAAAAAAAAAAAAAAAGGTTTTTTTTACTCCAGTTGACCTTTAAAGTAAAATTGGTTTTTTTTTTTTTTTTTTTTTTTTGGTGAAATGCTGGTGATACCTTGTATCTTATTGGAGAAAATAAATATCTGGAATGCCATCCCTTTTCTGTCTTCCTTATCTTCCTCTACATGCCTTGATTTTAAAATCTAATAGCCACTGCTAGAAGCCACATGTGATCTTTTCTCTTACAGGCTTTAGTGAGTCTCAGACAATTTTAAATATTGAAAGACAGCACTTAGGAGGATAGGTAGGAGCAATTTACTTTTTAAAAGTGCATTGCTTCTTACCTTTTTTTGATTATGGTAGTAGTTGAGAAAAAGGTATTGCAAGTTGAAAATACTAATAATACTCAGTAAGTAAACATAACTGGTAGGAATCAGATGGTTAGAGTGTGTAAAAGAAACATTAGTGGGGCAGCATAAACACCAACCCATTGCCAAACACCGAAAAGCCCGACATGAACATCCCGTGTGGGGAGAGAGAGTCCACTGACTGCCAGGTGGTACCGTGGGGAAGGTGTTTCTAGCCAGAATGTTGGAGAGAGATGCAGCTAGCAGAGTTTTTGAAGCTGACATGTATTGACTCTCTTTGTTTTGAATACTTTCTTATCTCTTTCATATTTAAAGGGTAAAAAATATGACTGAAAGCTGACTTTTGGGGGAATTTGCCATAAACCAATTTGAAGATATTTTGGAGTCTTCATTTTTTAAATTATTGATTTGTACTTGATTTAACTAAATTTTCTTTTTGAACTAAAGTTATATGGGGAAAAGAATTGATTCTGCAGGACCACAGTATTCATATCATTTGTGTACGTTGTTGGCCCCACAAATATAGTTTGACTTAAAGTTGGATTGCTTGGCCTACGTTATTGCTTCCTTACCTTTCTAAGCCATTATTACTTTTTTTTCATCATATTATGCTATTGAGAAGTATTATCCAGTGGAACTTTCTACAGTCGTGGAAATGTTTGACCCTGCGCAGTACAGTATGGTAGCCACTAGCTGCACGTGGCTCTTGAGAATTAGAAATGTGGCTGGTGCAACCAAGGAATTGAATTTTTAATTTAATTTGAATTAAATCTAATTTCAGTAGCCACATTTGGCTAATGGTTACTAACTATGTTGGACAGCACAGCTATAGAGAGTGAAAAGTTGATTCTATTACATTTTATTCTTAGTTCCACTCCTTGATTTTTCTCATTAGATTTACTTCCCAGAATATCCTTAGATGTGTCCTGTTTTCCTAATTGCCATGAACATATATCCTGTTTTCTTTTTAAATGAAAACAATGGTAGAAGTCAAAGAGCTGAAATATAATGTATCAGTTATTTATCATTTGAAAAAAAATTGAGCTTTTAAAATCTGTTCAGAAAAATAGGTATTGATTTAATATTTGTTTGATTTAAGAAGTTTAGTATGATGCTTTATGCCTTATTTTTTTATTATAAATATAAGTTACAAGAGGTTTACAGAAAAGGGATGAAACTTTTTTAAACTTCTGAACATGAATGCCAAAACCTGGGCGTCACTAGTGTACATGTTAAAGCATGATTTAATTTTTTTTTTCCCATTACTCAATTGATCACAACCTTCAATTCATAAAACCAATAATAACCCATTTAAAAAATATACATTGACTGTTGAGATTAGTTAACCATTTTACTTTCTGTCACCTAGTTCATGTATGAAAGCATGCAATTAAATGTGAATTTTCATTTGTTTAAACTTGACCACTGCACTGTATCACTTCTAGAATCATTTGGCTTGTTTTTTCACTAAATGAAATTTTCATTGGCATGTGTTTTAAAAACAGCTTTGCTGCTCATTTAATTATATGCTTGCTATGTTGTCAAACATCTTGGACTGTATTGCATGTTTTTAGAATTAGTACAAGAATATATTTTTTTGTAGGATTTTCAGATTTTTATGGGGCAGCTTTTTCGTGTGTGTTTAAAAATGTAAAGGTTAAAATATCTTTACTGGAGGTATTAAAAATATTCTGCATATGTGTTCCATAAGTAGCTTTCAGGGCCTAATGCCATCTTGCATGTTATAAAGTCAATTTAAAGGAATAGTATTGAGCTGATTGCCAGATTTTACCTGCACGTATATCATGCCAGGCATTTTTTAAGAAATTCTTTTCAGTGGTGATGTTAATGGCCAAGGCAATTATTATGTATAGCTGCTTAAAGATCTTTTCTAAATGTGGTATACTAAATTTAACCATTCACTTTTAATACTGGATACATGGCAGTATTAAAGAAGGCTGTAGTTTAAGAAGTTTGTGTTTATTTTTAGGTAGTTCTTTTGTGGGTAACTAAGATTACATACTCTAAGAATAGATTTATAAATGAGAGGAGGGACTGTGGTAAGCATGCACTTATGTTAAACGGACAACCCTGGATTCTTGTGAGCCTGTGGGTAAGGATTGTCATGTCTTGGTTTCTTGTTTGTTAAAATCAGAATAATACTGAACTGAAGTGTGATGTTTAAGGTAATTCATTGTACTGTGTATATGTTACAAAATTATTTGTAATACTTCTTGGGTAACTTTTGGCTTACTGAATGAAGTAACCTTAATGATTCTATTTTTCAGGTCATAAGAAGATACTAAATGGTTGGTCTCTCTTATAGTTAGTCGCTAGATTCTAGGTCTATGAATGAGCTTTTCACTCTTTTACTGATTGCACTCAATTAGCTAATGATTTTGCCTACTGAATTTTCCCAGATAAAACAATACTACCGTGGGAAACCCTCTATTGCAGTGGTTCTTTACAATTTTGTGGTCACATGTTTCTTTGAGAATCTGATAAAAGATATGGATTATGTAACCAGAAAATATGCATAGGTATAAATATGCAAAATTTGCATACAGTTCAAATAGTTTGAGCTCTTGATTGGAACCTAGTTGTGGAGCCCCAGGCTAAGGACTCCTGTTTTTTTATGTATGAATCACTTTTTAATCACACAGTGAGTATTGTGTTCATTTAAATGGAAGTCAAATTCCTTTGGATATGATATATAAAAATAAGTATAAATGTTAATTATATAATTTCAAAGATCCTGACCCTGTGTAGTATTGTATTATACGGGGGGGGGGGGCGTCCAGCACAAATAACGCCCCTTTTTTATTACAAAATCTTTTATTACAGAATCATAAGCATGTAGTTCTGTAACACAACGATATCATGCTCAAGCACACCATGTGACATTTTAGGTGAAATGTTCATATTAAAACTATAAATTATTACACCCATATTACTACCCTGCCAACCACACTCAAGCATGCGTTACTTCTGCTGGACCCTTTATATTTGGCCCATATATCTGTTTGATTTAAAATGGTTTTTATATGGGATTTACTGTAGAATATTTTCCTCTTTGGTTTCAATAATTGTTCAATAACTTGGGTCTGTCTTTTACTTACCAAGGGAAAATATTTTTTTAAAAAGTATTTTCAGAAAACAAATTGATTCAAAGGGAGCCACTTTGAGCATTCAAGTTTTGGACTATATTTGTAGATATATATTGTTCCAAAACATCACTCTTTTTTTCCTTCATTCTCCTACTGATGTAACTAAACAAGGACTTACTACTTACACAGGCTGGAAGCGCAATTCATTGACCCCTAGGACAACTACTTTTCCTTGCCCTGGCTGTGAGCATGACGTGGATCTTGGAGAGCGAGGAATCAATGGTCTCTTTCGAAATTTTACTTTGGAAACCATTGTTGAGAAATATCGGCAGGCAGCCAGGGCAGCCACAGCCATTATGTGTGATCTTTGTAAGCCACCACCTCAAGAGTCCACAAAAAGTTGCATGGACTGTAGTGCAAGCTACTGCAATGAATGCTTCAAAATTTATCACCCGTGGGGTACTGTCAAAGCTCAGCATGAATATGTGGGCCCAACCACTAATTTTAGACCCAAGGTAAGTGAAGTTTTATTAGAATAGTAAACTTAGTATTATAAAAGGAATTACTGCAAGTCTAGAGTTTGACAGTAAGAAGAAATAACTTTAAAAGCCTGTACAAGAAATTAAGGCCTAGTAGGTGGAGATATTTAGTGTGCTGCTAAATGTCCCCCCGGGTTAGAAGTACAACGTACTACAACACCATACAGCAATGCTCATAATGATAACTCTGAGGAATAGAAGGAAGGTGATCTCATATGTACTCTTTATGATTAAAATGGTTAAAGTTGAAAAGCGCCTGTGTTTTAATATGATATTTGCATAATTGTCTAAAAGTTAGCTAAAATTGTGCTATGAATAAATAGGTGTAATTACAGCCTAATATTCTGAAGTTTGTGATATACTACCTAGTATCTGACGTAGAATTTGCATTTCTTAAATATTATGGGTAATTTCTATAATAATGCTCAAACGAACTTTATGTATTATTATGTATTGTTTATGTATTATGTATTGCTAGTCCTTCTCTGTGACTGAAAGAATGGTTTTTGGGTATCTTCACTTATACTGCTTTCTGATTTATGTAGATTCTCAGTTAAAGTTCTTATTCCTTATAACCTAGTTACTGTGTATTAAAATCTATATTGTTGAGCATAAAACCTTAAATTTGTAATAGAAAAATAGGGGAAAAAAATCCCCAAAGTCTTGAAATTATGAGTTGAGTATTTACATCATATTAAATAGTGTAGTATACTGGTAGATTAAAACAAAATCTATGCTTCCATGTTCTGAATGACTCTTTTTTCAAACTATGTCGGTGTAGTAAGATTTATTAAATACCTTTCAATCCTCTGTCATATTCCTGTGTCATTTTAAATGCTCAAGGTCAGAGACTTTTAAAAATTTATGACTTCAACTTGGTGTTTACTTTTTTTTTTTAAATAAAATGTTGATAAATTTCATCATGAAAGAGTCTATGATTATTAAATAAATTATACTAGGCTTGGGTTTTATGAGTTAAGAATTCATGAAATTTTGAGTAAAAATTTTGAGTATAAATTGCAGACTTATTTTTTCTGTTTAAAATAAAAGAGTAATGAGAGAACTAAAGAAATAAGATTAGATTATATTGAGAAAAATCTTTTTTCTCCTAAGTTGTTAGTGTTATTCAATATAGTAAAATTCTAAAAAGGTTATTCTATAGAATATTTGCCTATAGCTTTGAGTTCTTATAATCATTCCTTGCAGAAAGCTAAACTTTATATATTACTTTAAATGTAGGGGCTTTGAGGATGTAGGATCTTGGACATACTAAAAAATTTGAAATCTTTTCCAGTTATTTTTCTCCAGGACCTTCATGTTAGTATTGGGACTTTCAAATTGGACGTATTTTTTTCTTTATAAATTATCAGAGCAGTTGTAATTGCTTAAAATTTGAACTGTTGGAATCATGGATAACTTTTTGATTTCATTAACATGCTAGTCTAAAGGAATCTCCCTTCCCAAATGAAAATCGTTCTATTTATGTAAATCTTCAAATGTACTTCTGATGATAGTTTACTGAGTAAAAGGTAAAAATTTAAGTAAGAAAAACACAATTCTAAATTTGGTGAGTGTGTGTGCAATTAATATGTAAAAGCAAACACATCTGGAAGCTTATATCATAAAGTGTTCCACAACTCTCCTAGTAGCAGATTTCTTTTGAGGATAGTAAGGCCTGGGTTCTTATAAGTTATTTCTTACGGTACCTTATAAAAATATTGATTATAATCATTAACAGTTGCCTTAGTCAGTGTTGTGAGAGCCTGGTTAGACATTCTGCTTAGGTCTAAAAGGAATTAAATTTTCACCATCTTATCACCAAGTGTAGGGGCAGTAACATCGCCATATTTAATATACTTTGAAATTGAGCAGTGGTAGTTCTAATATAGAGAATTTTCATATGATAAACCCAAATGCTTTTCTTTTTATACTTTATTCATTTAAATGGCTTGATTTAGTGATTATCTAAAGCAGATCTTTTTTATTTTTGGACTTGGAGTGTCCTGCAAGCTATGATGGCCCTTAATCACACTTTTATTCTTTGCTCAATAGATTTTAATGTGCCCAGAGCATGAAACAGAGAGAATAAACATGTACTGTGAATTATGTAGGAGGCCAGTTTGCCATCTCTGTAAGCTGGGTGGTAATCATTCCAATCACCGTGTAACAACCATGAGCAGTGCCTACAAAACCTTAAAGGTAGGACTTGTTTATTTTTGAAACTAAATTTTGATTCTTTACAACTTTATTTTACTTTATGCCTTTAACTTTTTCTTTATAAAATCAAGACTTGTTTTGTGGTCTGTTTTACTGAAATGAGTTAACAATGTAAATTGTTAATTAATGGTCTACTGATAGAGATTGTTAGGCAGTTCTTTGTCATACTGACGTACTAGTTCTGAACTCTGGGGAAAGAGACAGGGATGAAGGACACTTCATTATATAATCCACAAGTGAGCCCAGTGCCTGTGACATTGTGTGTATGGGAATGTCACCCTTTAAAGGACAGTTAACTATTTTAAGACATTTAATCCTTGTTACTTGTCTATAGAATTTTGTTTATTCTGGTGAGACCCTTGCTCGCTCCAAATGAGTAACTTCCTGTCTTTTAAGCTTATACATGGCCTTTTTAAAATAGCAAGGTAGGCAGTGGTGTAATGCTGTTTTTTTTTGTTTCATTCTTTTTTATTTTAAGCAATATTTTAAAAAGGAATGAAATCAGTGTATAAATCTACCATCCATTTTAACTTTTGTTTCTTTTCTAATAATATGTATGTGAATTTTGAGCTATATTTAATTTTTATTTATACATACAGTTTTATATTTTGCATTTTTATATGTCTATTATGCTCAATCTTTTACATTGAGTATGTGGATTACAGGTATAATTGTTTTATTGTCATTGTATATTACTTCTGTCATCTGTGTCATTACTGGGTCAGTTTTTTTTTTAATGCTCACCTGAGGATGTTTATTGATTTGAAAGAGAGAGGAAGGAGGTGGGGAAGGAAGGAGGGAGGGTGAGGGGAAAGAGAGAGAGAGAGAGAAACATCAATAAGAGAAACATCGATATGGGAGAGAAACATTGACCAGTTGCCTCCCATATGCGCTTCCAGCTGGTATTGAATCCACAGCCTAGGTAATGTGCCTGGTCCAGGGATGGAACCTGCAACCCTTTACGATGTCTCCAACCAATTGAGCGACCTAGCCAGGGCATTACTAGGTCAATTTTGATTGATATTTCTTCTCATTTTGATTTGTATCCCTCACTCCTTCGCGCGCCTGGCAGTTTTTGATTGGCTGCCAGGTACTGTAATTTTTCCTTGTTAGGTGCTGGATATTTTTGTGCCCTACAGATTCTTGAGTTTTCTTCTGATATGTGATTAAGTTGCTTACTTGGAAACAGTTGTTCCTCTTGGGCCTTGCTTTTAAGCTTTGTTAGGTAGAGCAGAGCAACACTTAGTTCTAGGGCTAATTTTAACAGAACTGTTGATGTAAGGAACCTTTCTTTACTCTTCCCAGTGCCCCATGAATTTAGTCTGGCTGGTAGTAAACAGGCACTATGCCAGTGTTGTGTGAGGTCCTGGAGCTGTTCCCTCTAATCCTTTTGGGTGATTCTTTCCCTGGCTTCTGGCAGTTTTCTCCCACTATGGATTGATCAGTACTCTCTTGACTAAATAAGGGGAACCCTTGACCATCTCTGGAGTTCCTTCTGTAGCCCTGTTCTTAAGAATCACACTTTACAAACTTTGGCCTACCCGGATTCTCAGCTTCATCTTTTCAACTCATTGGAGTCCTGGATCCATCTGAGTTCTTCTTTGCACCTGGCCTTGGAAACCTTCTCCAGACAGTACGCTGGGGGCAATCATAGGCTTATCTTGTGTACCATCTCTCAGAGTTCTTTGTTTCTTGATGTCCAGTGTCTTGAGAGCTCTTTCATATTTTCTGATGGCCCTTTAAATTTTTTTCAAGTGGGAGAGAAATTCCGATCATTGCTACTCTTATTATGCCCTCCAGTGGTAGTACCAGTGTTTGCTAATTAAATTTAATTTGGACACCTTTTTTGTTTGTTGCTTATTGGTTTGATCTTATATTAGTTGTCCAAAAATTATTTTACCTGGAGTGAAATCTTTGACAATAATATACACTTAAGTTAGTCCTTACATTCTTTTATTTCTCTCATATATGTTAAGACTTTTTAAAAAATAGACTTCATAATAGATTTTTCAGTTTCCAAAAGTAGTAATCAGATTGCCTTATATTGTCTTCCTTTTCACTTGGTTTTAGATTTTTAAGCTGGAAGCTACATGATACAGTCTATATTATCATGTTCACTTTTACTCACTGAAGTGTTGCAAAGAGAGAAGAGAAATAAATGGGTATCATACTGTATAGCTTTATCTCTGTGATTTGTCTGCTGCTTGTTGTAACTGTTGAAGCAGGGGCCAGGCTCCCTATCTACCTCTATCTGACCTGGCTTCGCATGCAGGTAGACTGTGTTGGAGTGTATGGCCTCTCAGGGTTATTACCAAGTTGTTCTGTGGATGGTGCCCTTTCAATTCTGGAAAGTGCTATTACTTTTGGGTGAACTGGCCTAAATAGTTAATAACTGAGAGGAGTAAGTGCTACTACTGGTAGTCTTCTGTTAGGTGACACCTGTATTTGTTTTTTTCCTTCCATATAATCATCTCTCCTGTTAATTTCCAGACATACAGAAGTGTGTAAACATAAACATTCAAAATAGAGCAGTTCCATCTTTTTTATAGCTTGCCTTTGCTTATTGACTTGTTCTTCCATAAGAGGGACCGATACAGAGATCTTCCCACCTCCCTCCATTGGGAACCCAGTTTACTCTTTCCTCTGACCACCTTGCACCGTTAAGGCTTATGAATTCTGTTCAACCGTGCAAAGGGGGCTGCAGTTGAGTATTCTCTGTCTTTCATCAGTCTGGCCACACCTCAAGACCGTGCCTCTCCTACTTCTCTGTCAGTGGATTTTCTAGGATTCTTTTCAACTTCTCACACAGCTGTGCAGTTTCTCATTAAGGAGAGTTGGTGGTTAGCTCATCTTCATTTGTCCACTCTATAGTTATATTTACAGTAGTTAACATTTTATGGAGGAATATTTCCTAAGGAATTTTTGCTATTTTTATTTTCCTTCATTCCTATAAATTTCTAGAAGGGCGCTGAGAATCTTGTTCAGGTACTGTTATTTCCTCTGGGTTTGTGATTTTAGGCAAATGATTAGAAAGTAGGACCTAGCAAAGTAGAAAATGTAAACATCCCTAGAAATAGTCCCCATTGAATGAGAAAGTAATATAGCTTTTGTACCTTAGGATATGTGAAATTTGTTGTGAATAGTATTGTCATGTTTGCTGACATAATTTGACACTTGACTAAAGTGTATCATGATATACCTTTTCCTCCCAACACTTTATTCTGAACATTTCAGATACATAGCAAAGCTGATATCACCTTTAAAATTATATAACCCATGAGAGCAAGGGACCATATTGGTTATATACTCTTCTCCTAGCCTGCTCATATAAAAGGTATTCAGAGAAATCGTTGAATGAAATTCTCTCTCTTCCTTCTCCTTTGTTTTGTTCACTCTAATGTTTCTTTGGGTACCTTTCATCCCAGGACCTGATTAAATAGGGAGGCAGTGGTTCTCAAACTTCGATGGGTATTAGAATCGCTTGGAACACTTGGTAAAACTACAGACACCAAGTCCTCTCCCACTTCAATGAGCTCAGGCCCCTGTACTCTGTATTAGTTGTCAGAGGCTGATGCACACAGCACTTGAGAACCACTGCTCTAGAGGAAAGCTTTTGAGCAATTTTGGGGTCCTTGAGCAGTCAGCCTCTGATCAGATCCTAGAGAACTGTGGCCCTAATGTATCTAAAGGATTTAAAACTGCTTCCCCCATTAAATGAACTTCTTGAAGATAGGATCCATGGTGGGGTTTTTTTTGGGGGGGGGGCACTTTACATTTTACTTTATCCTCACTTCTGGTGCTTAAACTTTTTGGAGACCTATGAATAAGTAGACACTGCTTTTTGGTTAAAATAGATCTAATCTAACACAGACTGCGTAGGTCTGAGGGGACAGGGAAGACTGGAGCCGTCACTTTCAGGCTGTCATTGGCCGGAGACTTTAAGCGTTACCGCTCACTGAGAGTGACCCCTACTGCTCTTAGACCTTAGACCATATTTCTGAATTCTGTCATCTATTCTTCTCTAGCCTTTCTTGTATTTCTAACTTAAGCTGTTTTAGAACCCAACCTACTTCGATTTAGATGGCCAAATTCTTCTCCTTGTTACTGTAGCTAAAAAGAGTGCCACCATCTGCACCTGATACTTCAAGTATCTTTGTGCCATGGTGCGTTCGACAGGGACATATAGGAGGAACTGTGCAGTGAGGAGGTTTTAGTTCAGTTACTGACTGTGAAGTTTGTACCCAGTGAGCTTTGGTTTCCTCCTCTGTAAAATGCTGCAAGGTTTTCTCTCTCTTTTGTTCTTATCATCCTAGTTTCTTTCTTGGACCCATCTTGCTTTTAGTCCTCAGAAATCTCGTTCCTTTACCAGATAGGTTCTTTCTCTGTCTCTCCAGTGAGCCATCAAGAAAACGCACTGTGTCTGATTTCTGGGTGTTCCAAAGAATTAAAGATGGCACCTGTCACTTTGATTTCTGCATACGTTCCCTTGTTGCATAGTCTGAGTAAAAAAAAGGAAGATGGAATATGTAGGAGACTAACTTCTTAAATTCCTGAAAGTTGGATTTCCGTCTCTTTTTATTTGTTTCTCACCCTTTTCATTCATATCTTCATCAGTGACCAAGAAATGCTCAGATCCTATAAATGCTGTAGTTTGGAAAGTGTTTTCAGAATGTTCTTATTCTTATTTAGATTGAATGCATTTGTCTGTTTTAACTTTGTACCATGGTGCTTCAGGGTTTTCTTGTATTGTTTTTTAATACACTTCAGGCATATTACATATTATTTTTTTCTGGGATGGACTGGGGATCTCCCCAAAACCTATGACATGATATTTATAATAAACTATACTCACTTCAAAATGGCTACCTTATAAACAAGTTACTCAGTAAGCTCTGGAAGTTTTATCAGCTCTATTTTTTATAAATCTGTATTTGCATTATTATGTATTATGTAATTATTTAATGAATACCCAGGCTGAGATAGGCTTTGAAGATTATCTTGGAAGGGTCTTTGTTACTATTTGCGGTGTGGGTGTGGGCGTGGGCGGGGTATGTGTGTGTGCAAGGGAATATAAAGTCTGGCAGTAAGTCACAAAGTTCAAATTGCTGCTCTTCCCTTTACTTAGAATAGAAGCCTTAGGAGGAAGACTTCTAGAAGTGAAAAGAGCTATCAAAATTGTACTATTTGTGTATTTAGGATTTTTAATTCATATGAACATTACTACATTGCTCTTTTTTCCAGCCTGCTTCTAATCTCTTACATATATTTGGGTCTCTGTCCTAAAGGCCAGAAACTGTTTGCCCTGGGTTAATAACTATAATTGCCATAGTCTGTTCATCATAGGCTAAAGAAGTACTGTGTAAAAAAAAAAGATTTTGCAAGGCCTGTGTTAAAATTCTATTTCTGTTTATTTGTGTTACTAATATGTTCCATCAGGAAAAGCTTTCAAAGGATATTGATTACCTTATTGGCAAGGAGAGCCAGGTGAAGAGGCAAATTTCTGAACTAAATTTGTTAATGAAAGAAACAGAGGTAAGTGATAAACTAGTTTGTATTTTCATCTAGATAATTATTTTTTAATATATAAAATTTGAGGGCTAGTATATGAGATGGGAGTACAAAATTACATTTCACTTCTGGTTTTCTGTGACTAGGACAACAAATATAAAATATAAATTATAATGCTGTGTGATCACTGATAGGATAGAGGTGAGTGATTAAATCATACTGGAACACAGGAAAGAATGACAAACTTTTTATGTGACAATTAAGGTCTCAAAAGTAGTAATGTATAGAAATGATAGCTTTTGCAATTATCTATATTTTACACAATTAACAGATCATATTTGAAAAATGTACTATGTATGGAAAAATAAAAGAACGAGGTGGATCTGTGCTTACGGATATGGGAAGATCTCGAGATTTTTTGTTAAGTGAGAAATCAAAATGCACATTGTGTATAGCATGCTACCATTAGTGTGATTAAAAATTCTATGCAATGTACATATATATTAGGTTGAATCTCATGTAAATGTTGATTTTTTTAAACTTCAAAAATGGCAATTTCATAGGGTTCAGCAGATGTATGTCTATATATTTGTAAACACAGATATTACAAAATATGTCTGGAAAGACACCTAAGAAATCAGTGACAGTGGTTGCCATCAGTGAAGGAAACTAGGCAGCTTGAAGTTATAAGCATTGGGGTTTACTTTTATGCCTTTTTTATCTTTTGAATTTGGGAGGAAAATTTCCCCCTCTCTATCCTGCTTTAGCTCTTCTGACTGGAATAATAATAAAACAATAAAATTGACACAAGACTAGGTTAACAGGAAAAAAAATCAATATGTGTGCACAGGAGAATCACAATATGATGGGAAAAAAGTGTACTTACGTATGGATAGGACCAGATTTGTTTAAAATTCCAAATATTCATTAATTTAATGCCTGTTTCTTTTGTCTTTGTAAAATAAATTGGAGAACCATTACTCCTTATCACTTTAAAAGTTATAATTCAAAAAGTATCCTGAATAGTATGAGACTGTTATTTCTTAAAAATTTTTTTCAAAGATGGGTTAAAATTATTGAGAAATTATGTGAATTCACACTAAATTACCAGTGTTGCTTGTTTTTAATACTTTTTCTAATATTCACTAATTGCATTTACCACTCTAAGGAAGTTGTTTTTCTATGTAATTTAAAGATGGAGCTTTATTTTTGTATTTTTGTCTGATTGGTATAATCAACACATAGCAAGTTACCACCTCGCTCCCAGATTATTAGGTTGCCTCAGGGATTGTCTCTTTGGTCATTTTAGGTTGATTTTACTCCGTTACTTCTCAGTCATGCTGTCCTTCAGAAATAAGGGAGACTCAATACATGTTCTGGAGTTTTTCATTTAGTATAGTGAAAATCGAGGAACGCAGGCATCAAGTATTCATGTAGACACAGATTCCATGGGAGTCTGGAGAAATTGTTTGCTGTATTTGCTGTGTAGAATGCACTCCCGTGTATAATGTGCACCCATGTTTTTGGCCCAATTTTCAGGAAAAAAAATCTTTCATTTTAAATTTTTAATTCAATTTTTTATTTATAGATAAAATCAATTACTATATTCCAGGGTATTATTTTGCATATGGATATCGTTATTGCTTTCTAGAGTTAACAGTTTTAACGCAAACATAAATAAAATAATTAAAAACACTTCCATAGATATAGAATTAATACTAGCCATTTATAATGTGCAACCTTATTTTTCCCTCAAAAATCTGGGCATAAAAGTGCACATTATACACGTCGTTTCTTTTTGTGCCTTCGACCTAAGCAGTATTTGTAATCGTATCAGTAAGGATTTTTTACAGTAGAGAATTTGTCTCTATTCTTGACTTTTACTCAGTGGTGATTGTGATACTGTCCTTTTTAAACCTATAATTATATTTAGCTGGAAAAAAATCTCCTTTTTAGCTGCAGATAATGGTATTTCTAGTTTAATGTCCTGATAGGTCATGGAAATACTGCCCCCTGTCACCGCACTCCGTCTCCTCCCATCACCCCCGTTTAAAAATAGCTTGGCTGTTGGCGTGGGGAAACAGAGAAGGGAATCTGGAAAGTTTTTTCTCTCATTATACATATTGGCCAGAAGTCATTGGAAAATGCACAGTGCACCTCTAGAATATATTTATAATGTATAATATAATGAGCTTTTAAGAATGTTCTTGGAGACCTTTTTCCTGCTGGCTGCTGCCGAGGGTCTCTTACGATGAGTGCTTACGAGTGCTTTGACGGTCGTATTTTCAAAATCAAGTTGATCTCTGATTTCATTGACATTAAAAAGGTTTAATAAGCACTACAGATAGGATCATGTTTTTGGACAACATAAAGGAATACTTATGTTGTACAGTGAAAATAATGTTTATTAACGGTATGTGGCATTGTGGTGAGCTTTATAACTTAGTAAAGGGTGTCATTTTACTGAGTTTTGTGGCTGTGGTTTACTTTTTTTAAAAAAATTAGAATAGGGTGGAAATGGTAAAAAAAAAATTTCTTTAATTAGAAATGAATCAACATATCCAGAATTGTATTTTCCCATGTCTTTGGTTAAGTCAGTTAATTTCTGCCTCAATTTTCTTTGCATACAAATTGGCGGTTATTTTCTTATTTAATTAAATACATTTATTGCTGAACTTTGAAGATTAAAAGCTTAAGGAAGGTACAATATAATAAAATTACAATGTATGTCTAAATAAAAGTTACTGATCATTCCTTGCCGATCATTCCTTGATGCCAAGTTTCAGAATCAGACAAAATTTATTTTCTTTACAATATTTGAGTTTGTTTTATTGAATTTTGGTTATTTTATGGAAAGACTGTTAATGCTTTGCTTGTTTTATAATAGTGTAATGGAGAGAGGGCTAAAGAAGATGCAATTACACATTTTGAAAAGCTCTTTGAAATTCTAGAAGAGAGGAAATCATCTGTTTTGAAAGCAATTGATGCTTCAAAGAAACTCAGATTAGACAAATTTCAGACTCAGATGGAAGAATATCAGGGGCTTCTAGAGAACAACGGACTTGTGGGATATGCTCAAGAAGTGCTTAAGGAGACAGATCAGTCCTGCTTCGTGCAGACAGCCAAACAGCTCCACCTCAGGTATTTTACTTTTAACCTAGAATCTCCTTAGCAATGTCATTAAATACTGCTCTATGTTCCACATTAGCCCTGAGTGGTTTGTTTATAATGGAGTTCGTTATGTGAAGCACCTCTTGCTTCACTCTCAATGTTGAGTGGTTTTCTTTTGTTTATCACATTGCAGATATTTAGTCTAATTTTCCTTTTCACTGAAGCATTGTTATGTAAATTATATCTGTTTGAATACAGAATCCAGAAAGCTACGGAATCTTTGAAAAGCTTTAGACCTGCGGCTCAGACTTCTTTTGAAGATTATGTTGTTGATACATCTAAACAAACAGAAGTTCTTGGAGAATTGTCCTTTTTCTCTAGTGGTGAGTTTTAATAACAGCAAAACCAGTCTTTTTTGTCTGCGTTTGCATTGTGTAGAAAAAACAAATTCTCTTCAGTTGGACATTATGAAGCAGCATCTCAGTTGCTCAGAACCATTGTATCTTAAAATCATATTGTATTTATGTGTTTAAAATTTTTTATACACAAAAACCATATTCCTTTGGTTTGTGTTTTTAAACATTGTGTAGATGACATCAAATTGTATGTATCCTTTTTGTAAGTTGCTTTTATAAAAAATTAAGATAAATATATTTTTTAAAGATTTTATTTATTTATTTTTAGAGAGAAGGGAAGGGAGGGAGAAAGAGGGAGAGAAACATCAATATGTGTTGCCTCTTCAGCGCTCCCTACTGGAATCCTGGCCTGCAACCCAGGCATGTGCCCTGACTGGGAATCAAACCAGCGATCCTTTGGTTCACTGGCTGGCACTCAATCCACTTAGCCACACCAGGCAGGGCTTAAGATAAATATATGATAACACACAAAATTCTGGTTTAAAGCTATATTTTAATTGTTTATATTATTTCATTTTGTAAATCTTTTCCCTACTGGGAGACAATTGTTTCTGTTTTTTCTCTTATTGTAAACAGTGTTGTATTGAACATCTTCTACAGTGGTTGTATGTGTATGTGAGTTTCTCTGGGGCAGAAACCTAGATATATTCAGCTTCAAAGTGACTCTTAAGATGATTCACTGTTTACCTTGCTACATTAGTTTGCTCGGGCTGCCAAAATAAAATATCTAGAGTTGGGTGCCTTAAATAACAGAAATTTATTTTCTTACAATTTTGGAGGCTAGAAGTCTGAGATCAAGATGTTGGCAGGGTTGGTTTCTTCTTTTTGGGCTTGCAAATGATCATCTGCCTGTGTCTTCACGTGGTCGTCTCTCTATACATGTGTCCAAATTTTTTTTATCAGGACACTAGTCATGTTAGTCATATTGGATTAGGGCCCCTCTAATGACCTCATTCTAACTTAGTTTATCTTTTTAAAGAACTTATCTCCAATAAAGTAACATTTTGAGGTGCTAAGGATCAGAACTTCACATGAATTTTTTTGGAGGGAGCACAATTCAGCCCATGAGACTTAATTATGTTTGTGTTTTGCTGCTCCCCAGCAAGGAGTTCTTCCTTTCCTCTTTTTTTCTCACCTTTTCATCCCTCTTAGATTTCTCTTCTAGTGACGGTGAACAATTACAGTCCTTAGAAGGGTACATTTACAGTCTAATTACTATATAGGTATACGTGTTTGGATTTGTATATTCAATCAATCAAAGAAAATTTGTCTTGTTAAAAGTTAAAAACTCTGAAGGATCATTTCTGTGACCTCCTTTCTTTTCCAGTCTATACCTGAGTCTCCTTTCAGATACATACCCATCTTGTTTATTATGACTGTCTCATCTTGTTTATTATTGACTGTCTTGCTTTTCCAGATACATATTTGTTACTCTTTCAAATGTGATTCTACTTCATATCCTGTACTCTCTTTTTTCCCAAAAGGTGTACTTGAATTGGTTTTCACATACGCTAGTTTACTTAGTAGTACAAGATCCTACTTCCCCTGGGGATCCCAAAACAGTCATTGAAAAGATAAGGTGGAAGGTGGGTAATCTTGGGTTATCCAGGATATAGCAGTGGAAAGTTGGCACCCAACTTCTGGCTGATGGATGTCTCCTCATTTTTTCCTGCATGCATATATTTTTAGTAAGCCATGTTTCAAAAAAAGAAAGGGATATCTGGTGGGTCATACTAGTCATGTGATTTTGTAACTAGTGTTTTCATTCTTTTCACTTTAAAATATGTTTTGGATGACTTCCTAGATCTCATTATGGTTGCATAAATGCATCATACCCAGAAATGCCTATACATTGCTACATGTAGCTGTGGGATAAAGAGAAAAGGACACTCCTCCTGTTCCATTTCATATACTTCTCTGTGATTTGATAAAAGTGTATGTTCGTTTATAAGTGTGTGTGTGTACATGTATAACTTCTATAGCATATTTTTACCATATGACCCAAATAGGTAAACTTATTGAAATTCAGTGTATGGAAAGGATTATGGATCTGCACAATGATTTAGCTGTAATATATTTTAACCATATCTTTAGTGAAAAATTAGAAGCATGTTTCTGAAAACAGTTAACGTTGATACATCCATACAGTGGAATGCTACTGAGAGAAAAATATTGGCAGGATCTACACAAAATTATTGTAGTGATTATCTTTGAGTTAAATTTTTTGCATGTTTTATGGTGTTGCAGAATTTGAGTCTTCAATTTTTGTCTTATTTTTCATTCTTTTTTCAGTTATAAACATAAATATGCCTTTTAATTTTATTTTTTAAGTATATTTTACTGATTATGTTGTTACAGTTGTCAAATTTTTTTCCCCCCTTTATCCCCCTCCACCCTGCACCTCCCTCCCACCAGCATTCCCCACGCCCTTAGTTCATGTCCATGGGTTGTACGTATAAGTTCTTTCTTTGGCTTCTCCATTTCCTATACTATTCTTAACCTCCCCGTCTATTTTGTACCTGTCATTTATGCTTCTTATTCCCTGTACTTTTTCCCCCATTCCCTCCCTTCTTCCTCCCTGCTGATAACCCTCCATGTGATCCCCATTTCTGTGACTCTATTCCTGTTCTAGTTTGCTAATTTTTTTCCCCTTAGGTTCAGTTGTTGATAGTTGTGAGTTTGTTGTCATTTTACTGTTCATAGTTTTGAACATCTTTTTCTTAGATAAATCCCTTTAACATTTCATATAATACGGTCTTGGTGATGATGAACTCCTTTAACTTGACCTTATCTGAGAAGCACTTTATCTGCCTTTCCATTCTAAATGATAGCTTTGCTGGATAGAGCAATCTTGGATGTAGGTCTTTGCGTTTCATGACTTTGAATACTACTTTCCAGCCCCTTCTTGCCTGTAAGGTTTCTTTTGAGAAATCAGCTGATAATAGTATGGGAATTTTCTTTTGTAGATAACTTTCTTATTTTCTCTTGCTGATTTTAAGATTCCTTATCCTTAATCTTGGGTAATTTAATTATGATGTGTCTTGGTGTGTTCCTCCTTGGATCCAACTTGTTAGCCTTGCAGGTCCATTTCCTTTGCCAGATTGGCAAAGTTCTCCATTATTTTTTCAAATAAGTTTTCCTCTTCTCTTCGTCTTCCTTCCTCTTTCTCTTCCTCTTCCTTCCTCTTCCTCTTCTCCTTCTGGCACCCTTATGATTTGGATGTTGGAATGTTTAAAGTTGTCCCAGAGGTTCCTAAACCTTTCCTCATTTTTTTGAATTCTTGTTTCTTCATTCTGTTCTAGCTGAATGTTTATTTCTTCCTTCCATCCCAAATTGTTCATTTGCATCCTGGTTTTCTTCTCTTCACTGTTAGCTCCCTGTATATTTTTATTTATCTCACTTTGTATAGCCTCCACTTCTTCCTTTATTTTTTGACTGTACTTAGTCATTTCTGTGAGCATCCTGATTTACCAGTGTTTTGAATTTTGCATCTTATAGGTTGGCTATCTCCTCATCGCTTAGTTCTTTTTCTGGAGTTTTGATCTTTTCTTTCATTTGGGCCATATTTCTTTGTTTAATCTCACCTGTTATGTTGTAAGGGGTGAAACCTTAGGTATTTACCAGGGCAGTGCATCCCACTTGGCTGTGTTGTGGTGTTGCCTGTGGGGGAGGGGCCAAGGAAGGAATAATGCTGTTTGCTTGCTTGGCTCGGCTCTCACCCCAATTTCCATCAGTTCCCTCACTTCCCACAGGAGGATTGTGCCCTTTCAGGTGCTGATTCCTAGGTGGGTGGGATTGTGTACCTTCGAGGACCCCATGGACCTATCCAGTGGACTCTCCTGAGAGACTGGCAGTTTCTCCCGCACCACAACCCCAATAGGTATTTATAGCCAGAGGTTTTGAGGCTTTCTTTTCCCACGCTGGAACCTTGGATTGCATGGCCTATTTCAATCCCCAGTTGTTTTCCCTGTTTATCTGCACGTGAATGTGGGACCACCTGGTCCACCAGCTCCTGCCTTGCTGAGTGTCCTCTCTGCCCAGGGCTGCCCATCTCTGCCCCTCCTACCAGTCTGGATGAATGTTTTTCTTTAACTTCTTGGTTGTTGGACTTCCATACACTGATTTTCTGGCAGTTCTGGTTGGTTTTTGTTTTTGAATTGGTTATCATCTCTTTTTGGTTGTGTGGGGAAGCAAAGCATTTCTACCTATGCCTTCATCTTGGCCAGAAGCTACATACACTTTTTTAAATCTCTGTTTTATTGTTTGTGAAAAATTTTGTGATAAGAACACTTACCATGGCAATCTATCCTTTTAGCATATTTTAAGTGTGGGATACCGTAGTTGACTAGGTCCACTGTTGTAGTGCAGATCTTTAGAGATTATTCATCTTGTTTAACTGGAACTTCATGCCTGTTGATTAGTAACTGCCCATTTATTCCTCCTCCCCGGCCCCCGGCCCCTGGTAAGCACCATTGTAAGTCTTTGATTTTATGAATTTGACTCTTCTAGATACCGTGATCGTGCAGTCAGTATTTGTCTTTCTGTGTCTGGCTTATTTCACTTGTCATGTCTGCAGTGTCCGTCCATGTTGTAGCACATGCAGGAATTATTCTTTTTCTCATACGCAGAATTGTAAATTTAGAAAATTGGATAGTACAGAAATCATTTAAGTATTGTCAATACATCATTTTCATTAAGGAAAAATATAGGTTCTTTAATGATATTTTAACATTGTTTTCTATTTCATAATATTTTTCAGGCATAGATGTGCCAGAGATCAATGAGGAACAGAGCAAAGTTTATAACAGCGCTTTGATAAATTGGCACCATCCAGAAAAGGATGAAGCTGATAGCTATATCCTCGAATATCGGAAGATTAATAGAGATGAAGAAATGTTGTCTTGGAATGAGATAGAAGTTTGTGGCACAAGTAAAGTTATTTCAGAACTTGAGAGTAACTGTAAATATGCTTTCAGAGTAAGAGCCTACAAGGGTTCAATGTGCAGTCCTTGCAGCAGAGAATTGATTCTTCATACTCCTCCAGCTCCAGGTATTGTTACCATTGGGAATAAATAGAGCATAGTGTTGGAAGAGAACTTGATTAAAAAAACAAACTAATTAATGTCTCTATGTAGACCTACAATGATTTAGAAATAGACTGATTACATGAATTTCACCGTGTAGGCTGAAGAGAATATTAGATTTTTGAAATCTCAGTTTATAGAAATCTCTAGAACATAGGATCTAGGTAGATATTTTAAAAATTTATGGGTATAATATGAAACATAATCTTGATTACATTAATTTAGACTTGTCTGAATTTTCTAATGCAGAGATTTATAGGAGGACATGCACATGGGGGTCTTTTAGAACCATGTGGATAGTTTTCTTTCCATGTTAAGACTCCTCCTGCCCAGCTACCCTCCCTCCGCCTTTCAAGTTAAAACCCACTGATGCTACTTACACAGTGTCTTTAAATTTTTATAGAATGGGAATGATTTATAGCGTAGTTGACATTCACTACAATGTCTGCATGGACAAGAGACACTTATAACAGGTTGTGCTCATTGTGGTTTGCAGGAAAACATTTTTTCTTATTGGTCACTGCCTTAGAGTTTCTGTCCATTGATTTTTAGACCGCATTGCTCTTGCCCATTTTTAGTGGCTTATCTATCCATATTTTTTGCAGTCTGTCCGTCCTCCTCTTTTTGTTCCAAGTGTACATATCCACTATTTGTTTTTCATACACATTGTGGCTAACTAAAAAAAATTAGGATGTAAATAAATAGGGAGGGTTAAAATTAGTTTTCTTGAATCTTAGTAAAACCCAATAGAGAGTTTTAGGATGGATTTGCAGGTACAAAATAAATATTTTATAGTTTACACAGTTTCAGCTGTCTTTTTCAGTCTCTGACTGAAAGTAGAAGAAAAAAGAAACCTGAACTAGCTGCTGTTTTCAGTAACATAGTAGAGGGGGAAGGAGGAAAGGAAGTGTAAAAAGCTGTCTTCCTTTTCTCTGAGAGAAGCCATTATGAATATGGTGACCATATATATTTATTTTTGCAGACTAGGAGACTTTTGAGACCAAAAGGAAGCATGACTTACCATGTTGGGACAATAGACATTACCAGGAAGAATGGTCAGCTACATATGGAGAATGCTTTTAGTTAGTAGACAGTTTTGAAAGATGTGGTATAATAAAGTTAAAATTTGCCATTTTAACAGTTGTTTAAAAATTTTTCAATTGCAGCTGACATACATTATTATATTAGTTTCACATGTACAGCCCAGTGGTGCATAGGTCAGTAGCATCGAGTACAGTGACAGTGTCGTGCAACAGCCACCACTCACATCTCCAGAATTTTTTATTTCTTCCAAACTGAAACTCTCTGCCCATTAAACAGTAGCTCCCCATTCTCCCTCCCTGCAGAGCCTGGTAACCTCTCTTCTACCTTCTGCCTCTATGAATGTGCCTATTCTAGGTATTTCATATAAGTAGGTTCATGTAATCCTTGTGTGACTGGCAGATTTCAAGGGTCATCCATGTTGTAGCATGTATCAGAATTTTCTTCCTTTTTTTAGGCTGAATAATATTCCATTGTACATGTATAGCCTGCATTTCCTTTATCCATTCATCTGCTGATGGACATTTGGATTGCCCCCAGTTTTGGGCTGGCAGCCAGTGTTACACTTAATGGATTTGAGTTGATAGAGACTTATGAGAAGTGGTGTTACCTCCATGTCTCTCTGACAGGTGTTTCTGTGAAAACACAGAAAGCCTGTGTTTTCTTTTTTTATACGGTACACTGTCACATCGGCCATATTGATGAATAAGGAAAACACATTATTAAAATGGCTTTTATTTTTCAAATTTATAAAATTTGGAGTAAATAAAAAATACTAAAATGTATACCCCTTTATTTTAGTGGTAAAAGACAGACACAGTAGTGTGAAATGCTTAGGCTAGATTTGCTATCTATTCCAAGCAACCACATTCATAAATTTTCTCATATTTAAAATATTTTCTTCTACCTTTGCGGTTTCTGAAGATTTTTAGGTGTAGAGAATTTACTGGAAGTTATTTCTGAGTTGGGGTTTTGGTTGTCATAGTTTGGTCTTGGGTCGTACATATATCTTGTCTCTTTTCAGTAATTTCTCTTTGAAAAAACTGTAAATTATAAAAATGCTAATAAATATTTCTCAGACTAATTTTAAGCTTTATCTACAGTGTTCAGTTTTCTCTTTGATGAAAAATGTGGCTATAATAATGAACACCTCTTGTTGAACTTGAAGAGAGACCGTGTAGAGAGTAGAGCTGGATTTAATCTTCTGCTTGCTGCGGAACGTATCCAAGTGGGTTGTTACACAAGTTTAGACTACATCATCGGAGATGTCGGAATTACAAAAGGAAAGCACTTCTGGGCCTTTCGTGTGGAACCGTACTCATACCTGGTAAAAGCGGGAGTTGCTTCCAGTGAGAAACTGCAAGAATGGCTCCGTTCTCCCCGGGATGCAGTTAGTCCAAGGTACATTTTTTTTTATTCATATAGAACTTGATAATTCTTTGAAAAGTAAACATCCTCATTTAGCATGATAAGCTTGAAAAATAGACCTGGATTTACTCATTACATTTCCAGTACATTTTTTAGATTCAGGAGTTTGGGCTATGTTTATGTAGTTGGCTAAGAAAATAAGTCAGGCTCCTTTATTCACTCAGGGAAATAATGAGATTTAGCAGTTAATTCATGATACCATGTTTTGGATGCCTCTTGATTATGATAGGGCTTTGCAGTTTTAAGTTTTGAAAGTCCTATCAGTTACCTTAATTTTGTGATAAAAATTACTCACCTATATAGTGAAATGCCTCTAATTGCCACACTTCACAATTGATACACATTGTTCTTTTGTTTTGGGGCACAGTATCTTTAAACGTCCCATCAATCCTTTACAAAGTTAGGTCGTGGCAAACATGTTTCCACAGCAGAAAATTTCAATTTTTTAAAAGATTATTTAATGGAGAATGTGTGGTTTAATTTTTTTAGATGGTATAAGGTGAACTAACTCAGACAAATAATTTTTGACCACTTACATGAACGGAATTCCAGGTTAATGTGAGTGATAGGAAAAATTTTTGCACAAAGATGGGAAATTGACATAACAATGAAAGTTGTGTTAGAGAAAAGGTTAATTAAACCTAGTGGCATGTCCACTTGATAGACTATTATTCGTACTAATTATATTTAAAAACTGTGTAACATGTGGAATGTTAGAAGTATAAAACACTAAAATGGTTGATGTTATAGGATCACAAATATATAAAAAAATGCATAGAAAAAATGGAAGGAACTTGATATCAAAATTATCTATAAGCTGCTACTGTTTTATACTATGGGGGGAACCCCCTTCATAATATTTGCTAACATTATAGATCCATGTAGAAATTTCAACTGGGAGATAAAATTCTTTGGAAGAGAATGAAACATGCTTTTTTTCTTCTGTATTATTATGCAGTATCTATTTATTACTTTTAAGCCTCACCTGAGGATATGTTTGTTGATTTGAGAGAGAGAGAAAAAAATTGATTGGTTGCCTCCCGTATGTGCCCCAACTGGGGATTGAACCTGCAACCTTTTGGTGTATGGGGTGATGCTTCAGCCAACTGAGCTACCTGGCCAGGGCTATTTATTTAGTGTGTAATTCCTTGGATTAGGGCACACATTTTGGTTTCGTATTTCCTTACATATGATTGTATGCTGTAAATATTTAATCTTTGACGAGTCATTCAGTCCTTGCCCTACTGCTTTATTTTTGATAGGTCAAAGTTACTTTTTAGGTTCTCCTCTGTGTATACACATCTAGGTAAAAGTGGATAATGTTCTAAGACAGAATTTGGGGGCGAGTGTGTTGTTATAATTCTGAATGACAATGAGTAATCCTTATGTTTTTGTTTTAATAGAAAGCTTTTGCTATATAATTTATTTTAATTTTAAATCAGTGTATATTGTCTTGTAAAATGTTTCAGCGAAACTTGAAGGCCTGTGGATAATGATACAGATAAGATTCTCCTCTGTGTTGTGTTTCAGATATGAGCAAGACAGCGGGCATGACAGTGGAAGTGAAGATGCCTCTTTTGATTCTTCACAGCCCTTTACATTAGTTACTATAGGCATGAAGAAATTTTTTATACCCAAGTCACCTACTTCTTCTAATGAACCAGAAAATAGAGTTCTTCCCATGCCAACAAGTGTAGGGATTTTCCTTGACTATGATAAAGGCAAAGTAAGTTTCTATGACATGGATCACATGAAATGCCTTTTTGAGCGCCAAGTGGACTGTTCGCATACGATGTATCCAGCATTTGCATTAATGGGCAGTGGAGGAATACAACTTGAAGAACTCATCACAGCAAAATACCTAGAATACCAAGAGGACGTGTAATTTAAGCATCTGATGTGACTTAGAATGAAAAATGTAAGCAAAATAATGCCTTGGTATTAACCTTCGTAACTAATTACATATCATCTAAGTATTCGGTCGCCACACTTGTCATTTGTGTATGTTTCTTCTTCAAACACAGAAAACCTAAACAGCCTTACCTCTTCCGTGTCACTTTTCTTTCTGCCTTTCACAGATAGTTAACACTGACATGTTTTTCTTTTCTATGAACAGGAAATCTAATTTATTTGTATTAGCTGGTGTTGCTAATGTTTCCATTCCTTTTTTGGGGGAATGCATACAAATGTATTTATTAAGCTTCTTTTGTGTTTGGTTTTTAATTTTTATATCATGTTTATGTCCTAGGATGTTTTTAAAATGCCTTATGGATAAAAATTAGTATTAAGCATTGTATCTTGCATTTGTTTTTAAAAGGAAAACAAAGGTATAGATAGGGAAAAAGAAAAGACCATAGAAATGGTAATATATTTAAATGGAAAATTATGTATTTTGAGATGTGTAATGAATATTAAGGGTGTATTGCCTGGAAAATGAATACTTTTTTTTTTAAAGACAAATTGTATTCTTGAAGACAATTAAAAACATTTTCTTAGCTGTGATGCCCATTTGTATATGTACAGTAAACATAGTTTCTTGCAGGAAACACGAAGTTAGTGGTTAACACATTAAGCTCTTCATTTTATATAATTTTTTTCCAGAAAAACTTGTCTTCAGTTTTCTTAGTTGCTCTATGAAAATATTTGCGCTTTAATTATTTTTCATAAATATTAGTGAAGATACATGGATATTTGTCATATTTGGTTTTTTATCCCCTTATGATTTTCATTTTTTGGGCACAAATATTGCATATCTGATTGTCCTGGTTTATGTTTACATATTTAAAAAGTTCACGATATATTTTTAGTGTAATTAAATATATCGTAAGATGTGGAATAACTTAATGGGTCAGCTGTATGGCATTTTCTGGGGCTCATTGATTGGTAATGAACATTGGTAATAATAAGCAAGTAAAAATACAAATTTAATTGTTTAGGAGTAATAACTAAAGTCATAATGACTGTGTATCTTAATTTGAAGAATTGCTTAATCTAAATTTTATGTTCATTTTTGAGACCTGTTTTTTTCTTAGCTTGTATTTAAACTGGTTTGCTTTTTTGAAGTAAAAATATTAGAAACTAGACTTACGCATTTTAGTCCTCATCATTTTGGAATGCTTTTGACATCTTAATAGACTAACAAACACTCTTAGGCCTTTTTTCCTATATATTTTTTAATAGAAATATTTTATTCAGGTTGGTAGCACAAAATTAGTCCTCTCCTCCCCGCCCTCTTTCTCTCTCACACACCCCCCCCCAAAATAGAAAATATCATGGAGAATTTCAGTGTTTCGTAGGCTGTGTTACTTCCCCGCTAATGAAGAGCACTTTATGACATAGGCTAAACTAAACAAATATGCAGTGTTATGTGGATCATTGTGCAATAAAACTGCTAAAGTCACATGTGAAGTAAAGCTTGATAGTCTCAAGCCTGGGTAAGCACACATCATGTAGACATTTTAAATATAAGGCTTTAGTAGGAATAGGAAAGCTGTTTAAAACATTGTATATTTGTATATAAATTGTTCTTGATGTCTTTCATTTTTAATAAAAGTTAGAATTACATCAAGTGTAGTTATTGAAATCTTTATTCTAGGAATTCTCAGTCTGTTTATATGGAAAATGGAAGCAAATTATTTATGAAAAGATGTTTAGCTGAATATATTAACTTAGAGCTAAAGTTTTAGATAAAGTTATTTTGGGCATTTAATTATTAGCTTTAATTCTTAAGGAAGTGATCATTAGAAAAATTTAACATGAAACTAATTTACTTCTATTTATCATTTTGTTTAATTTTTCTGATTCATAATAGATCAAATTTTGATCAGATGAGTGGCTCTTTAGTTCACATTTACAATCTTGGGTTATGGGGCTCTCTGGTAGTTGTGGTCCACAGTGGAGTGTTATTAATGCTTGATGGGTCTTAATTTAAAAAGATAAATAAAAGGAGATTGAAGGCTATTCCTAGGATACTGTATAACAACTTCTCTTTTTTACTGTTGCTTTTCTCGAAAGTTGTAAGAGCCAGAGCTGACTCCTGGGGATTGAAAACAATCTGGTCCTGTGAAATCTTTTGCATAGATCATCATCTGATTAGACTTTGAGAGTGTGTGCCATGTGGAAACATAATCAGTTGTATTGCTACAGAAAACAATTGAGAACTAGTGTTTTGGGCAAGAATGCTCTTAAGAAGTTATGTTCTGCCAGATAAATTTGCGTTCATTTTAAAGGTGTTTATGGGAATAACATCCTGAGACTCGGGGTTTTTCTTGGGACTCTCTTGCTTTAACAAATAAACCTGAAGGAATAATAGTTTCTAAAGTTTGATTAGGAACTATATCATTTCACAAAAAGTTTTTAACTCTTGCTATTTATGAGACACTGTGCTGTGAATTGAATATAAAATGAACAAGTAAGTCTAGCTAGGCTCCTGTTTTTTAGGAGCTTAATTTCTAAGAAGGAGAGATAAAAATGGAAGGGACCATCGAACATTTGAGGTGGGAGCTAACAGATTTGGTGAACAGAGAAGCCCCGTTGAGGAGATGATACAATTTTGACACCTGATTGCAGTTGATTGAACATAAAATGAGATAGTGAATTGGTTAGAGTTCTGGCAGGAAAGAGAATTCACCATGGATGCTTCAACTAAAAAGAAGTTAATGAAAGGATTGCTTAGAGATAAGGACAACCTTTCAGGAAGAAAAAGCAATGGTGAGCTGTGGAAAGACTAGCCATAGCCTGAAGCGCTTACTGCCATTAGAGTGCAGAGGACAAGGGGAAAGAGTGACTAGGTCTCAGGGAGAGTGAGAACGTTAAGAACTGGTTGCTTGGTGATGATGAACTCCTTTAGCTTTACCTTGTCTGGGAAGCACTTTTTCTACCTTTCAATTCTAAATGATAGCTTTGCTGGGTAGAGTATAATCTTGGTTGTAGGTCTTTGCTTTTCAACACTTTGAATACTTCTTGCCAGTCCCTTCTTGCCTGCAAAGTTTCTTTTGAGAATTCAGCTGATAGTCTTATGGGAACTTCTTTGTAGATAACTCTCTGCTTTTCTCTTGCTGCTTTTAAGATTCTCTCTTTAACTTTTGGTGTGCTAATTGTGATATATCTTGGTTTGGTCGTCTTTGCGTCCATCTTGCTTGGGACTCTTTGTGCTTCCCGAACTTGTATGTCCATTTCCTTCACCAAATTAGGGAAGTTTCATTGTTTTTTTAAGTAAGTTTTCAATTTCTTGCTCTTTCTCTTCTTCTTCTTCTGGCATCCCTATGATTTGAATGTGGGTACATTTGAAGTCCCAGAGGCTCCTTACCATGTCCTTGTTTGGTTTTTAATTTTTTTTGGATTCTTTTTTCTTCATATGAAATGTTAAAGGAGCTTATTTAAGGAAAAGAAGATCAAAACTATGAACATTAAAATGGCAATAAATTCACAACTATCAACAATTGAATATAAAAAACCAAACTAAGCAAACAAGCAGAACAGAAATAGAATCATAGATATGGAGATCATTTGAAGGATTATCATTTGGGAGGGGGAAGGCAGAGAATGGGAGGAAAGACACAGAGATTAAGAAGTACAAATTGGTAGGTACAGAATAGACGGGGAGGTTAAGAACAGTATAGGAAATGGAGAAGCCAAAGAACTTATATCCATGACCATGGACATGAACTAAGAGGGATGAGGATTGCTGTAGGGAAGGTGGGTACTGGGTGGAGGGGGACAAAGGGGAAAAATTGGGAGAACTATAATGACATAATCAATAAATATATTTTTAAAAAAGGATGGGTCAATTGGTGGGAGCTGGGGTTGTCATGGGAGGCAACTATTTCCAGAGACGTGGTGCCAAGACTGGGAGAGAGTCAGAGATACCCTCCACCTGATCTGATCTGCCAGTGCAGCCTATTGACCACACCCAACTGGAAACCAGCCAGGAAGGGCTTTCTACAGATGCAGAGAACAGGGGTCACCTTCCTGGGGCAGAGATGGGCAAAGGAGAGACCTGGTGGTGGTTGTGGGGTGGCATAAATGGAGAATAACCAGCACAAGTGGGAAGGAGTTTGGTGTATTTAAGGGGGAAGGGAGGCTATTCACCAATTTGCTGACTGCTTAAATAAGGGTATTTATACTATTTGGAAATGTTAAAACACGTTCAGAAAGAAGACTTAGCAAGCTGTGCATCTTGACCTTTTTAGCTTACTGGTATTTCTCTTCCTGGTTGGCCATTCTGTGCTCTGATAATCTGGGGCTAATAGAGTTGCTTCTGTTCCAAGTTTGTCAGCTGTTTGAAATCTTTTGGAAAAGAGAATACTAATTAAGTGCTGTGGTTAAGAAAAAGTATCCTTGAAGTTCTGACTAGACTGATAACTGCATGTAAAGTACGATTGTAGAATACTGTCAAAATGAAAATAAATTGAAATGTGCATGAATTAGAGAATAGTCTGACTGCCTGTGGATAATTAAAAAATACTTTTAAATAAAATTCATTTTCCTCTAGATATCTTTGTCTAATCTATCTGAATTCAGTGCTTTAGTTTTTAAATATTACTACTGCTTGCTTTTAGAGGACCTGTAGAAGTTCCTTGGTGTTTATGCTGGCACATAATTCAAATGCAGTTTGAGTCTATGCTGACCAGCCAGATTGTATGACTGCTTCTAGACATCTGCTTCCCTTTCTTGTAAGTCTTGATCTGCTAAGACAACATCCTTTGGAATAGTATACCTGTCATGTAATCTTGAGACTATTGGAGCAACCTGATTTTCTAACTTTCCTTGGTCATATGGTAAGGACTGTTAGACTGTTAGACTGTAAAGATATTTTATATCTTTTCAAAATAATATCTATGTATTTGTTATATCTGTATATTTTCAAAATATCTGTGTAACACC